CTTCGGCTGCATCAATTTGACACCTTGTGTCAAAATTTGAACTTCGTAGCTACCATAGGTCGGCCGGAAATGACGTCAGAGTGACGTCATGTTCGTCCGATTTCAACGCAAAACATTGAACCACGGCAATCGCTCCCAAGAGCTCAGTTTTTAAGCTAGATCCAATTTCTTTGCATGAAAGGACTCAGAATTGACCGCGCTATCAAACTGCTATCTCGGATTTTCAAAATTTTGAAAATTTCGAAAATTTTATATAATAATAATCAAAATTTATATTTTTATATTTTTTTCAAAAAGTTTTTGACTTTTCGAAAAAACCGGAATATATGTGACAGAACGCATGATTATGACTAACTCTAGCAAGTTTTAGCTAAATATCTTCAAAAATGGCCAAGTTATCCGCATTATTGCAAAAAATTCACAATTATTAATTTTTAAAATCAATTTTTCAGTACGTATTTGGCATCGTACACCAATATAAATGGCACCATCGTGTTCCTGAGCTCAAACTGCATCCAATAGACACCTTTTTTGTTGAAAAATTTCAACTTCAAAATTTGACCTTTTTTTACCTGAAAGTGACCTGACCTAAGCTAATTTCGACTCAAAATGACCTTGAATGACACACACGACATCAAATTCGAAATCTATGGCCTAAATGGACCATAAAACATGTGTCACGTGACCGACGCATGATATAATATTTTCGTGACCTGTGATGACCTGACCCTGACCTGAAAATCAAAGTACAAGTTTGGTACCCTCAAGGTATCTAGAGCATCTGTTCACGAGTGTGGAAACCAAAAATGAGCCTGATCTGACTTGTAAGACGGCGGCCAGAGCCCAAAATGTGAACAAGCCAAAGTGCTAATAATTTTTACTTTGACCTGACCTGTGACGTCATCGGTGACCTCGAGGTCAATGAAATTAGGTTTCGCTCGACAGTTTTTCCGGGGCTATCAGACGCCGTTTGAATTTTGACGATCGGCCCAGTAGTTTCGGAGTTAGGAGGGGGGGCTATGAATAGCCCCCCCCCCCCCCCCAGTAGGGCGTGTTATACACAGACCCCAGTGGGGCGCGGGTTAAGGTGCACATGGCAGTGTACACAATACCTAATGCGCAGAGGGCCTACACAAAAACAACATGATACGTGTGCACTATGATGCACAGCATTGTACCCTGATTATTTGAATGTTCTGATCACTCAACATTCAGGACTCAGGAGACCATTTTTGAATGTCACATTTATTATACATCACTTGTCAAACAAGAGCATGATGACACATATTTTGACAAGCAATCATGGTAATATTCCAATAAGTTGGACACCTCCCTGGGCGTCATTTTCCAGGAAGGTACCTCTGCAGGTGTTGTGGTAGCTTAGGTTGAATTGGGTTAAGCTACGTCGTCCACTCCAGAAGTTTTGAGACTGCCCTCGTAAAAGCCCTATTAACAGTGCTAGATTCTTGTCGCTTTCATATGTCCTTACCACAGTTGTCATAAACGTACTTGCATAATATTGTTTTTCTACGTTGGAAGAGACGGCTAGGGCATCACCCTGAACACGGCAAGTCACACGCGGCTTGTCACAGTGACCAATGTACAGCATGGTCAGGCTGTTAGTGTCCTCACATGTGAGGACGACTTTGAGGGTCGCAATGCAATACAATTTTGTGATTAGCTTGATAAAAATACCCCAGAAACATTTAGAATTGACTCTTCAGTGACTTGAGACGAAACCTGGGTGTATTTTTACCGATCCAGACACTAAGAGACAAAGTGTTCAATGGAAGCACACTGACTCCCACAGACCCAAGAAAGCCAGAAAGAGCAGGTCCACTGGGAAGCTCATAATAATCCCGTATTTTGACAAAAAGGCATTATATTCATTAGCTGGGTCCCGTGCTCGGCCAGATGATTAACAAGGAATGGTTCCTGAAAGTTCTGCGGGAGTTGAGCAAGGGAATTCGCCACAAAAGACCGGAACTCTTCAAATTTGGCCAGGGGCACCTGCACCAGGACAACGCACCCACCCACAAGTCCATCATGGTGACGAGCTAACTAACACAGATGGGCATCAAAACTGTCCCTCATCCTCCCCACAGTCCAGATCTGGCCATCTGTGGCTTCTGGATGTTCCCCAGACCGACAGAGAAGCCCAGGGGACGCCGGTTGGAGGATGTGGAGGAGACGAATGAGGCTGTGACAAAGGCCCTGGGCACCTTCACTTTGAAGGACTAGCAGCGGGCCTTCAGGAAGTGACCGGAGCGCTACAACAAGTGTATTAAACTCGGGAGGTCTCATTTCGAGAGTCAATGAAGTTTCAAGCTTTTCTGAAACAACTAACTGTCTCTACTGAAAAAGTCTCAAAACTTCTGGAGTGCACCTCGGGTGAAGTAAGGCGGTTAGGACCAGGTCAGACCGTAAGGCCTGGTCAGGTTGATTTTAACCTCTCATTCTAATTTGACATAGATACCTATTACCTATGTTTTTGCTCTAGACTGAACTTCATTAGGTAATGAGTTCATTTTGTTTTGTTTTTTATCTGTCTTGTTTTGTGTTTTTGTCCCTTATGTTTTGCCCCATATGCAAGGGTGGAGCTTTTCCAAGGAAGGTGGTGGGGCAAAAAGCCGTCAAACCTGCAATGCTCGGTTGTTAAGTTAGATTATGATTTATGTGCAACATTGCATCAGTTCTTTTAATTACAGAACTAACATTTTGAACTATACAGACATTTCATAGCTCCTCAACGCGAACAACATAGTGGTTTGCTAAGCAACGAAGTTCTACAAATCAGCAAAAGTTGGAGGGGCAGAACGCTATTTTTTTCTCTGACAGCTTCGTAACATGTTACGAAGGCACCAAAACTACTTCAGTACAGGGTGTAACGAAATTATCCGGGCATCTATTTTTTCGCCATATCTGTTTGCACAGTTTCCTAATCCTTTCTGATGTTAGAAGTGGGAATATTGGATGAATACGTGACTCTGCTATCGGTTTTTCAACTCAGCAGTGACCTGACCTTGTCATGTGACTGTTGCTCTGAGTAGGAGTCGATTCACAGACGGGTTCACATGGTAGTTTTCGTCCAAGGCAGTTGCGAGAAAGGGATACAATGTCTCCTTTCGTGGTAAAATTGCATGGTGGCATCCACGGCGTCATGAGCCAGAAGCTGGTCTGCCAGCAGCTGGACATCAGCAGCAGCCAATTGCACATCTGCCTGAGGCGTAATAAGCTGGGACTTCGGTGGCAGACTCAGCCCGGTCGCGACCACAAAAGCCGCCCTTTGTCAAGTGGTGAGGAGAGTCATCAAGATAGCGGCAAGAAAACGGCACCAATCAATCCGCAAATTGACTCGAATTCTTACCAACTCAGATAATAAGAGATCCCATATCATGGTTTACCGCTACCCGCCCTTTTGAACTTGGTTCTATTGCCCTTCAAACTGAAAAAGACAACGAAACTGACGGGAAAATAACCAGTTCACCACCTTTCGCCTCACGCCAGATCGCGTCCACTGGTTGAAGAAAGATAAGGGTGAGGTGGTCTGGTTGGATGGGTAGCCGTTCGAGCTGTATTATCCTTTGAACCGTCAAATCGGCCATGTATGGGCGGCCAGCCGCTCGAACTTGCTGGCCTTCGCCGCCGTCAAACATCCGGACAATATCCAGAACTGGAGCATGTTCAGCTGCTTAGCGATCCTCCAATAGGACATAGTGTCATAAAATACCGCGATCAGCGTCAAGTATTACCGGAGCAACATACTGGCCAATGAATGCAGTTGGAGGCGCTCAACCAGACGGTATAGGAGGGCTCGGTTTCTGAACGCGCACTGGTGCCTGATTCAAGCCACGCTGTCTTCATGCGGGGCGGCGCGCTACTTAAAAGTCCCTAAAAGAACGGGAAGTGATGCCGATAGAACCTTCAATCATTCTGGGCTAACGCTTATGACTTGGAAAGAAGTCGCGATCCCAATTCAATCGAAAACCTGTGGGCTCTTGTTCAGTAGGTGACTGAAGAGACGCCCGCCACAAGCACCGCCCAACCGCAGGCACAGGTTTAGAGGGCGTTGGTCCGCATCAAAGCCAGTGTGCTGGAGAATCCAGTGGCTGAAATGCTCCAGAACGTTCGCCACTGTGTTTTTATGAAAGGTGGCTTCATGCTCAGTTAAAAGAAAAAGTACCAGAATGTTTTGCTTTTTAATTACAGCGGGAAGAAAGGTGTCCGGATAATTTCATTACACCCCTGTAATGTTCAAATGGTTGCTAAATTCGAAATCAGCTCGAAAAACTAGCCTAGAAACATGTAAAACTCGAAAGAGTGAACCGAGGTCATCAAAGGTCATTGAGCTGACCTGACCTTCAGGTGACCTTGACACCCAACCTAATGCATGGGACCAGCATCATATCACATGTTTCAACGCTTGAAACCACGTAAAGACTGCAAACGCGCGGCTAATGCGAGCCGACATACGCCGAATCGCGATTCGGGCCAAACATGGTCTCGAGAAATAGGTCACAGGTCAAAGGTCATTTGGGTCAGGGTCATGAAATTTTCAGGGTAGGTGTAAAATTGATAAAACCGGGGGTATTGAAAGTTTCGTCGCGATCGGACGGTTTTACGCGAGTTACTCAGGAAAAACCGATGGGGTCCGTTCAACGCCTCCCCCTATACGAGCGAGGGAAAAGCGCCACCAAAAAGCAAAAGTATGCACATGCGATAACCTATACTGCGAAAAAAGGTGCATCATTTTTTAACGGCGCCGACAAATTGTAATTACCCCAAGCTCAGGCAGATGTATGGTAGAAAGAAGGTAGAAAATACCCCAAGTGAAATACACTACGGCGGAAATAAAATACCTACGGCGGAGCTCGGTTGCAATTTGTAAATACGCGGGCCGCTCATACTGAGATTTTCCCGTTATATTGAAAAGACTCGCTTCACGTATCGCGCTCGCTCGTAAACATCGATTCTTAATTATGTGCATTCATCCATTTCAGATGAAAACTACGTTCTTCAAAATCCCACCGATGGCCTTGCAGAAGCTGGCGGTATTTTCAACCATGCAATGTATGCCCCATTTGGAGGTCAGCCAGCATTATCAGCTAGAGCGACACGGAGTCCGGCGGACGGGAGAAGCAGTTGGTCTCCAAGTACCATCGCAACACGAGGCATCGGGTCAAATGAAGTCAACCAGCTGCCAGCACGGTTCAACAGATCACCCTCTGACTGGAGCGAATTCGGTGCGCCGTCAGACCAGCTCGGAAGAAAGGCCAGTACACAAAACATTCTACGGAAGGATGGCCGCTTCTCCAACACTACAGCAAATCAAGGATTGATATTCTGCGAAAGTCCGAACGTTTTGCAGCCAAGTGATCACAGCTCGGGTATCCCAGTCTCGAGCCACTCTACTGCCCCGGGTGATGATGGTGGCCAGAACGACCGGGTGCCTCCCAGGCACGCTGCCTCTGCCACCTTTACCACCGATTCATACCCAGCCGCGGACCCTGCCATGGACCTTGCCGTTGATTCCTCCAGGCACCTGCAATCGAATCCGGGATCATGTTCCTTCGTCCGATCACCAAGCTCTCCAGGCGCCCGCCGAAGGGTGAGTCCAAGTCCAGCACGAGGTACCGAAGAGGGTGCATCCGACTCCGGAACGGGAAGCGGTGACGATGATGAGCATGAGGATCTCAGTGCCTTCGCAGCCCCGAGATCAGGTGGAATGTCGAGGCATCCAGTGCCGTCCGGGCACCCTCCCCAGCAGAGCACGTCTAGTCAATTGTCTGAGCAGAAAAGGACGACTTCAACATCTTCAGCGGAGCAGGCACGACTCCCGCCGTCGTCGCCAGTTGCTGATATGTCGCCAAAGACAGAGCCTGAGCCGGACCGAGTGACGCCTACTGAGCCGACCCCGGTAGCGGGGCGAGACGTGGCCCCAGTAAAGCCAGAGCTATCCCCGACGACATCACGAGACCAGGTTCCCCGGTTTCCTGGCGGGTTGGGAGCGGCGCATGAGGAGCCCAAGGACCCCAGTCTGGCGGCGCTGGGTATCACAGCGGAACTATGCTCCAGAGATCTGTGGCTGGAGTTCCACGAACACGGCACTGAGATGATCATCACCAAAATGGGCAGGTGAGTTGATGAGGTCCGAGGGGGACGGCAGAGTAAGCTTCTTTGGGGCTTCAATAAATCACTTAGGCTAATAGTTAATTGAACACCCGTTGAACTTCACAACGAAAAGGCAGAAACTATTCGGCGAGGCTTAAACAAATAAAGAAGTTGTACTTAATTCGTTATCACTTATCTACCTACATTGTCTATATTTGTGTACGTTATCTTAATCCGACCTTTTTAACAAAGTTATTTGTTCAAAATTTGAAACCAACCATTGCGCTAGTACCCGGACGCCAGAGGTCGTCCGTTGAACTCAGGACAAAGCAATTGGTATTTTTGCTTTTCGTGGCGGTCAGCATGGCCTGTTTTTCGGCTAACATGTTGTTATCGGTAGGTCGTTGAAAAAAGCCTGCAACTACTTGCATATTCAATGTTTTTCTTTTAAAAGCAAGTCATGGAAGCAAACCTAACTGCTGGTGCGATTTGTAAAAAGTTAAGTTGACTGCAGTGGCGTATCTGCAGGATCTTAAAAGGGGAGGCCAAACCTGCTCAAGATGCCCCATCCTTGCCTTAGGGGTCCCAGTAGTAGCATACATAACCCACGCCCGAGTGCGGTTCTTTGCCAACTTCCCCATGGCAAGTTGGCAATATTCAAACTTCAAACTTGGCATTCTTTTTTAGAATACCGAGTTTTTAGGCACCGCCAAAGCGGCCCCTGGGGGGCCCACGCTAGCCTTTGGGGGCTCGACCTCGGCCTCTGAGGGCCCTCAAATGGCAAATTAAGATAGTTTGAACGCGGTTTGACTAATATATGCTTGGGACAGTACTTCGGATCAGGCCCTGCAAGATCGTTTCTCCTGGAGCACTCAAGTGGCCCAGAGCGCCCACTTGCTTGTCTGAAGTCAAAGGGGGAGGCCATGGTCTCCTGGCCTCCCCCTGGATACGCCACTGGTTGACTGACACATGAATCGCTTGGACAACTGAACTTTTACTGTTTGGTCATCATTTTTGGACATATTGCTTAGACAGTAGACACAGTGCCGTTTCCCTTTCGTTCAATTTTCTCTGCTAACGCCTATATTCGCAAATGCAAACGCTACTAAGTTTCAGGAAAATGTTGCGTTCAACGCTAGCAGCTCATGAATGAAATGCCAGATGTCGACTGCCCAACCTGTCAAAAGGTTCGATTAAATTGATCTCCAATGTTATTTTAACACACTGTGAGTACATGACAGACCCGGCGGTTCAAACAACTCCAGCCGTGGCCTCTGGGATGCGCTCGAAGATTGACGAGAAGTCTTCTCGGGCAGTTGGGGACTGCAATCCTACCAGCCCGAGCTGTATAGCGCCGGCACCACCGGGCGACGCTGGGCCCGCCCCGACCTGCCGCTCCCCACTCGGACCGCGCCACAGCCGCCCCGCTGCGCCGCCCATCGTCTCAGCGCGTTATTCACGCCGCGCCACGCCGGTAGATCGCGCCGCTCCTCGGCCGACCGGCGGCCATCAGCATAACTCGCCGATCGGCCACGTCGGCCGCGGGGGGCTCAATTAGGTTTTTAGTGGCGGTGCTGGGCCAGGTGTGGTGTCGGCCGGCGCGGGGGTCGGAAACAAACCGGACCGAACCACCGCATGCGGCTTCATATCAGTTTCATGAATGGAAGCGTAGGGTCTGTGGAGTGAGCGTGAGACACGGTTTGGAATGTTTTGGGCTGACGGCACGTCGTCATTGGCAAAACATCGTAGATTCATGCCGTTCAATGGCTCATATCGTTAGTTGTTAGGTGTTGTTTTTTCGTTATCGTTAGTTACTTTTTGATTTGTAGAAAAACCACTACCGCAAAGCCCATTGGCAGCATATAACGAGTGGTGCAACATTTCGAATGGGGCTCCCACGGCCGGTTGGCTGGACAAGATAGCGGACCCCAACGAGGTTAGAGTGGGAGGGGGAAACCACCACTGATACTATGGCGTCACGCCATAGTATCATTTCTTTTCGTACGCCAGGTACAGTGCTTAAAAATAGGTATCGTCTTAGGAGCTGGGACCTACTCCCCCCCCCCCCCCCCTGGGCTGCCAGTAGCAAGATCATTAGGTACTGATTCAGACGAAGCGCACCGATACTGTTGTTGCTGTTTTACATGTCAGTACAGCACAGAGCACATGCTTGGCTTGGAGAACAGTTTTTACCAAGCACTGCTTCCCGGGGTCGTTTCAGACGCATGTTCCCAACTGTGAAGGTGCGTCTGCACGGCCTGAAGCCGTCTGACTCGTACATCGTCTACATGGACATTGTGCCAGTGGACGACAAGCGCTACCGCTACATCTACCACAGGTGGGAGAGCCAGACTATGTGTTTGCACGGCCCGGAGCTCAACAGTGCATAATCCAAACACGTTGTTAGCTGCTGGTACCAACTGTTATGACTTATGCTATTGGAAAGAATTCACCACATGCCAGAAACCGTGCAAATTTCAGGTGATTTGAAACATGTTGCGATATCGATTTTCAAGAATCGAGAATACTAATAATCGAATCGTATACAGAGTAAAATGTAAATGTCGTCTCTGTTGATACTCGTAAGTAATTCAATAACGGTGGATCCTAATTAACACTTGCGAATTACTGTAAAGTTGCGCAATGTTTCAATTCCCATTTGCAGTTGATCATGGTTGTGACGATGGCGAAATGGTGACAAGCTGCTATCTATCTGCACTCTGAAGTGACAGACCCTCGGCCTGACGCTAAGGTCAGAAATGTGAGCCACTGACCTTTGAGTTCGTCCTCTGAACGGATCTGTCATATTCCGCAAGTCATCCCGACCCATGATGCAGAATGGGCGCAATAGGCGTCAAATTGCTGAGCGGTGACCTTCCTTTGACATAAACTGCTGGTGCAGTTTTGAGAATTTAACCGTTGCATGATTATTCGCATTTCATTCGTTGCTATCAATTATCATCCCCGATTATGGATACGTCGCTAAGGTTCTCCACTATTATGAAAACTGATTGCTATCTACGTAAAACAGATATTGTGCGACTTCGAGGCAATATATAAACTAAACAGCACATGGGCGCAGTGCACAATGTCACATACGAAATTATCCAATACTCTAACGATTATGCGTATCTACCTAAATGGAAAAGTTTAGCAAGGGCCCGTTACACAAAATACATCTTTGGTTAGACGAATAAAATGTTATGTAACAGAGAAGGTTTTCTTTAGGTTCTTTTTATATTTTTGCCAAGCCCGTCAACTACTAACCAGTTCTGCTACAATGTGTGACTCGCTTCCCAAATATCGCTTCGTCATCCATGCATCCGTTCCGTTCGAACAAGTATTTTCACTTCAGAAGTTGGCTTGATTTTGGTGTTTGGCTTAGTTTTAGTTGATATTTGGTTTGGTACCGGCTTTCTAATTATGTATAACTAACTGACTGGGCGGTGGCCGGTTGAGAGGACTCTCTTGCTGACCTGTATCTGTCCTATTGTATTTTACATTCATGAGCGATCCACATTATTAAATTGCGTGGCGATTGACTAATGACTACCCACTCGGATGATCCCAGCTCGGAGTGGGCAGTGGCCGGTCCTGGCGACTCAGTCATCGGCCCCAGTCGGTACGTCCATCCCGACTCTCCGGCCCTGGGTCGACTCTGGACGTCACAGGGCATCGTCGCGTTCGACAAACTGAAACTGACCAATAGGAGGGTCGCATGCAGCCCAGCACAGGTGAGAGTGTATCCAGCTCAGCGAGAGGGTGCACCGGGCACTGACTGGTGAGAATCCACCCAGTACAGTGATACTAGCCGTTTTTACGACGGGCTATCCGGCGGTGCACCTAATTTGACCAAATGTGCACCTAATCTCTCTTACAGTAAATATCTTTATTCTATGAATTCATTTAAGTATTTTAATCGATGATCCTCTCTGATAATATGACAAAGCAGGCATATAAGCAATTAGTGCAACCCTAGCTGATTGCTACTAAGAGACACACTGAACCTAATTTGACCAAATCTGCACCTAATCTGCACCAGATATGCACCAAATGTGTACCAGATGGCCGTCGTGAAAACGGCTGCTGTGCACTCGACACATTCCAAAGGGTGCACCCGGTGCAGGGGCAGACTGCACCCGACACTAGTGTAAGGCTCTTCTGCAACCACCATGATGCTTAGCGACAGTACCGACAGGCATTCATAATGATAAAAATTGTAATAAAGCTTGAAATGCCATTTACCAGAGGGAGGGCTCAGCACGTGCACGACATAGGATCATGGGGACGGTTGACCATGACTAAGCGAACTCGGATAAGCCAAAGATATGGGTTGAATTTGAACCATTGTTTGAAGATTAAATGTAAGCGAATTTATTGACTTTAGAGAATATGGCATTGGATAAGTTTTTATCCTTCTAGCGCATTACCATTCTCTTTCAGATTTCTCTGCATTCCATGCAGAAGTACCGGCCTCGTGTTCACGTGCAGTGGACAAACGACCTGGTGACCCCCGTTGAAGAGCAGATTGACCTGCGCAGGTCACTGACCTTCTCCTTCCGGGAGACAGAGTTCATCACGGTTACAGCCTATCAAAACCAAGAGGTAAATGTTTGTCGCTGATCTGATACTGTAATAGATGTCTGGTTTCCATGGATTTGTGTGTGAATCGTATGCTGTATTTGCATGAGCTAAGCTAGCGACAATCGCACAGTTTTGTGTACGCACAGCCGTGAGCCGACGAATGTATGGGAATACCAAAACTGACCAAAACATATATTGTGTATGCTACGTTGCATGTTCAACGTGTTGTGTTGCTCGTGATGGATTTTCTGTAGGTTATAGCCGAAATTTATATATCATTCGCAGATAACACGTCTGAAAATCGCCAGCAACCCGTTCGCCAAGGGTTTCCGAGACATCCCCGCCAGCAAACGGTCAGTTCTTGGGGGAAGGAGGGAGGGGGCGCTCAGCGATTGGATAATAGATATGTGAATATTGCGGGCTAGATCATGCGTTAATTCATTCGCTACTTCTCTACTTAAAACCGGCGACCCTTTGGGTTTTACCCAAGTTACTCAAACTCTGAATATTATTTTAAGCCATTGAGGTCGTCAGCTACTGTTTATTCAAACTTTTTAGTAACGCTTATCAGTTATATAAGTGCATGACTTCCAAGTGCATGATGAATTCTGCATTGCCTACACATCAAATGCATCTGTGGTGAAGATGAGGTGTCAGTTTCGCTATCGGCTTGCCGCTACTGACCAGTCGGCGATAGTTGTCCCCTCTCGACGCGTCATTCTCGTTCAACATCCTCACAGGAAAGATCTATGAGTCATCAAAGGCTCGTTGTGCTCTGTTGTAACGTGTGAAGGCCGCTGTTGGCCTTTCCACCGAGTACCGGTTGAAGAAAGCGCCCGTTGTGAGCGCCGGCTGCCGGTATCCCGATGTTTTCTGACACCTTTGACAGCTCAGTTCTCGGTAATGACACATTCATCGGGTTCGGTGCAGGGGTCGGCGGTGCCGGCGCGCCGGTGGCGTATCTGGCGCTGCCGGTGCGGCGCGATGGCCGCCTGTTGACCGAGCGCGGCGATAGCGGCGCGGCCGACTGACAGTACTGTTGGCACGGCCGGCGGCGCCGCTGACCGCCAGATAGCCGCACACTCCAGCCGGCCGGCCGACAAATGAATTAAGCTCTCGTGGCAATCAGTGTTTGAGCGCGGCGCGGCCGGCTGCCGCTGCGCCAGAGAACAAAGGCGGCGACGAGTGGCGCCCCGCGCCGCGCCGCCGCCGACAATTCTATCGCTGATAGCCGTCGGCCGGACAAAAACAGCACCTTGGCCGGCCGCGTCATGAGAGTGTGGAACGGCTGCTCGGCAGATATAGCTCCCGGCAGCTCGGCCGTCACCGCACCGGTAGTGCTGTCAAGTGCGGCACAGATTTGGGCAGCGGGACAAATATGATCATGTTGAATGATCATTGGATCCCATTGCTCTGTCGCCTACTGCTACTTACACAAATGACCGATCTGAAACGATAGTTGAAGGAAGGAGCTGAGAAAAAGCAATTATCAGTGACGTGGCACTTTTGCCACCTCATGCTGCTTCCGGCTACCGGCACTAGCAGAGGGTGGCAACTGTTGTAGATCAGCAAACAAATACCGATAAAAAGGTCCACAAGATATATTGTTTTATATGAAAAAAAAATTGTGTGTAAATAAGAAGTGGTTAGGATTAGTACGATTTCTGCATCAGTTCTCTGCCGATTATGACTGATAATTTCGCCTAGCTCTCGCCGAACTTATCTTTTTTTCATTTACATCTGTATTTCCGGTTTTCAAAATTCTGCAACTATTTATGCATAATTTTGACCAAAGATATTCTCCTTTCTGTGCAAAAATTTGGATTGCAGACACTGTAAAGCTGCCATTTGTCGCAAAATCGAGCCCTTCTATCAAAATTTCTGCAAAATCGCGTCCCTCCATCTCCGGTCCCGTTTCCGACTTCCCCGCTCCGAACTCACGACAATAATCGAATATCAGTTAATGTCACACTCACAATCATGTTCACGTTCGTTCATCCGCTATAGTTCTCCACTTAAAGCCCTTTGGATACCCGGGCTATACCCAAGCTCTGCCCGTCGTAAGACGGGGCATTTTAACTCATTTTGTCTCCAATCCAACCGGGTCACTTTTCACAATATAAATTAAATTTGATACCCTTGTGCCTTAATATCAAATTTTATTCAAGATAAAAATGAGTTACTCCATTGTCTCTGCCAACGTCACAGGTCAGGTCAAAGTATTTTTTTTATTATTGGCCATTCGTACATGATAAATGCATACATATTACATACACGTGCTGGCAGTGATTAAAATGCATATTCCCGATGGCTGTGTTCTTTCTCTGAAGCCATATGTCTTCATAACTATAAGCCTGAAATGGCATAGGTAACTCCACGCCACTCTTAACCCTCGCCGGACCTATAGGTTTTATACATACGCGCCGGCCGAGGGGGGCGGGCCCGACCCCCCTCGCCTTTTCGCTCCTGGTGGAGCTAGCGCATCGCGGAATAAACGAGCGTGTGCGCCGTTACGAGACGCAGAGATTAGTACCCGATTTTAAGGTCCTAGGTCAACCGGTGACCTCTGAGGTCAGGTCAAGTGCCCCAAGGTACGGTTCAGTTTTTGGTGAATAACCCGCACCCCACTGGGGGGGGCTATTTATAGCCCCCCCTCCCGTTTTTCTTGAATAACTTCCAAACCGCTTGACGGATCGACGCCAAACTTTCAGTACCTTTGGCTGCATCAATTTGACACCTTGTGTCAAAATTTGAACTTCGTAGCTGCCATAGGTCGGCCGGAAATGACGTCAAAGTGACGTCATGTTCGTCCGATTTCGACGCAAAACATTGAACCACGGCAATCGCTCCCAAGAGCTCAGTTTTTAAGCTAGATCCAATTTCTTTGCATGAAAGGACTCAGAATTGACCGCGCTATCAAACTGCTATCTCGGATTTTCAAAATTTTGAATATTTTGAAAATTGTTTATAATAATATTCAAAATTTATATTTTTATATTTTTTTCAAAAAGTTTTTGACTTTTCGGAAAAACCGGAATATATGTGACAAAACGCATGATTATGACTAACTCTAGCAAGTTTTAGCTAAATATCTTCAAAAATGGCCAAGTTATACGCATTATTGCAAAAAAAAATTCACAATTATTAAATTTTCAAATCAATTTTTCAGTACGTATTTGGCATCGTACACCAATATAAATGGCACCATCGTGTTCCTGAGCTCAAACTGCATCCATTAGACACCTTTTTTATTGAAAATTCTCAACTTCAAAATTTGACCTTTTTTGACCTGAAAGTGGCCTGACCTAAGCTAAATTCGACTCAAAATGACCTCGAATGACACAGACGACATCAAATTCGAAATCTATGGCCTAAATGGACCATAAAACATGTGTCACGTGACCGACGCATGATATAATATTTTCGTGACCTGTGATGACCTGACCCTGACCTGAAAATCAAAGTACAAGTTTGGTACCCTCAAGGTATCTAGAGCATCTGCTCACGAGTGTGGAAACCAAAAATGAGCCTGATCTGACTTGTAAGACGGCGGCCAGAGCCCAAAATGTGAACAAGCCAAAGTGCTAATAATTTTTACTTTGACCTGACCTGTGACGTCATCGGTGACCTCGAGGTCAATGAAATTAGGTTTCGCTCGACAGTTTTTCCGGGGCTATCAGACGCCGTTTGAATTTTGACGATCGGCCCAGTAGTTTCGGAGTTAGGAGGGGGGCTATGAATAGCCCCCCCCCCCCCCCAGTAGGGCGTGTTATACACAGACCCCAGTGGGGCGCGGGATAACTTCGCAAAAAACGGCCGCAGAGCTGCGATTTTGGCAGCATCGTGTTCGCCTCGCTCAGGCGCGTCGAATGATATACTTTTTGTCCGGGTCAGGTCAACTTGGGGTGTTGACCTCAGGTCAAGGTCAGGTCAGCACCCGCAGGTCACGAAGTTGGTCGAAAGAGGTCATGTCGCATATCATTCGATTCGGCAGATCTTCCTGAGTCCATTGAAGGCTTCCCCGACTCGCTAGCTTAATTTGATCAAGAGTTATTGACGAAAAACTAATATGACCTTGATGACGTCATAAATGACGTCACGCAAGGTCAACATTGCAAAAGTGACGCATCTTACCTTGCAAGGAGTGCATCAAATCACGATTCTGTGTGCTTGAGATAGTTGGAGATCGTTCCCGGCGCCACAATAGCAGTTTTCATTTTTCCCCATTGACTTACCTATAATGGTGAGGTCACGAAAATGACCTGACCTCATATGACCTTTAGGAAAAATCCGAGATAAACAAGTTGTGAGACTCATATAGGATACTAGATCCTGCAAGTTTCATTTCCCTGTGACATCTCCTCTGGCAGTGGGGGCGTCGCGAAGTTGCGACATCTGAAGACCGTGCAGAGGTTCACTTATGACGTCATAGGTCAGTGACCTGACCTGATCCAAAAATGCGGTTGGTGTCAAAAGATCCGGCTTGAATCAAAAGTCAGGTATGCCAAGTTTCAGCTCTCTATCGCCAGCGTGTTCGGAGCTATCGCGAAAAAACCTATGGGGGTCGGCACCCGCCCCCCCCCCCTCGGCCGGCGAGGGTTAAGTCTTATTTTTAAGTCATGTTCGGCTAGCTTTCATAACTCCTAAAATATCCTTAAAATAAGCATAAGTAAGACTGATGTTGAAAGGAGCATCTTCTTAAAGTTCGGTTACGATATTTTCACCATTGTAGTGTAGGAGATGTCGAGAGACGAGGAAAGAAATCAGCAAAGCCGGCGTTTCCCTGATCATCTTCACGGAAACTTCTGACTCCAACTCCCTAGCGCCTCCAGTAGTCAATTTTGTGGACTCGTCGTCCTGACTGCACCCCCGGAGTCATGGGCAGTCGCTCTCGACATCCGGCCACCTTTTGTCTGCACCATGCAGACACTCAAGTCCAACCGCCACTTATAGATTCTCACCTCCCAACCGCCAATCCAATGTCCGGCAATAATCCACTGTCTGTCCGACAGGCGACGCAACTCTGACCAGTCACTGAGCTTCTGTTTGCCGAGGCTTTGGGATACATTAGCGGGTACTAAGTCTAAGTGGCCTGACGCCGCTGGGCTATCGCAGGATGAGCATGTGTCTACAGACACACGACACACATGAAAGTGCGAGCGCCGACACTATCTTGGGGCGAACTCCAAACTGTGCCGGCTACATGGGTTTGATTTGTTTTCGCCACGTGCCCTGTTTGTACGCACTTGTGCGACGCCTCCGACTCACTTCACATATTTATAGATGTGTCTTTGGTTATCGGAGAGCGTCTTCAGCGTAATGCATTAGTTAGATCACGCCCTAGGCTTTCAGGGACAAGAACACTACAAAAAGGACCAAGTAGCGACAGAGATTAATTGCATTGGATTAATATAACATTGGTAGACCATGCATCACTGTGAATATTATTTTCCGTTAGTGGCTAATGTACCTTATAATGAATCTATGCAAACATGAAACAGATGCAGTGAATTGGAATTTTTGGCATCTCATCATCCGTTGGGGGAGACTGGGGTAGTTTGAGCAGTGAGGTAATATGATCCACGTCGATTTTCACACCGGTTATATGATCCACGCCGAGGTTTTCTAGCTCGTGAAAGTAAACTGTCGAGATTTTGGCAATTTGTTAATGCTTCTTATACAAAGCAAACCAGGCTCCCATTTTTCTTGTTGAGCACCGATGCATATATCCGCTAAGGCTTTGAGTCCATAACGGCTTCTAGAAACAAAATGTTTTACCTACTATTGTGCGCATAATTATGCGAATTTAGTCGTAAATGGGGCAGGATGAGCCACGCTCTAATGCACATGCAATAGGTACGATGCTACGATGGATTTTGTTTATGCCTGAAACCTCATTATTTTGCTACATGCTTGTTAAAAAGTTAGTTTTGGCCCACTTTTGACTGTGATATAATAAGTTTAATCCAACTTATTTCCTTGCATGATGCTATATCCCAAGCACTTTAATAAAACTTTAAATTTGTTGATTAAATAAATGAGCGCAAGGGACCAAGCTATTATTTGATACATGAATTAATTTAGAGTTCCGCGCGTTGTATGGCGTCAAAGACTTAAAGAAGTGAGGCTCAACGTACACCGTTTTCCCTTACATTAGTGACGCGTTTTAACAAAAAGTAAAAAAAGAGCATGTTTATACGCAAAAGAGCAAAAGAGCATGTTTATACGCAAAAGAGCAAAAGAGCCTGCGCACCTAAGCAATTCGTTTACAAACAAGCCTAAGCAAACATTGATGTTTTATGTTTTCCACAAAGTGATGAATCTCCTTTCATTGCTCTTACACAGAAACGGGATAAGTAAAATTCAAATGAGTAATAGAGCCATTCTTACAGAATCAGCAATCATTTGTAAGACTTTAAAACAAACTTCCACATAGCCACAAACTTCAGTTGCGTCTATCGCTTATTTATAAGTACAAAAGAAGGATGCATTGCTCAATGTTGTATGCGTGGTAACACACAACAGATCCTGTCGTCTTATAATTGCTCTTCCGTTTATGTTTGTGGAATGGAACTTGACTGTGTCCTTGTCAAGTCATTATCGAGATTATAACTGGTGATTGCAGGCAAGGTGACGAGGCTTACCGTACTTTTAGTGGGTACGAGTGGGTGGCGCCATTGCAGGTACTCAGAACATCTCCGGACAACAGACGCCTTGTATATAATGGCACTGCATGTCGTATCAGGAACGATCGGTGAAGATATATCCGAGTGCCTACTGTACAGATTTTCGAGGACCACTGGTCAGCAGGCCTTTATGCTCGTATGTAAGTACACACGGAAAAAGTTGAGCCCTGATAATTGGTATTTCACTCCCTACTTGAGTTGTTTGAGTACTGTCTTGTTCTTCTTTTACGTATACATACAGCCGGACGCTTCGGGATTTCGTCAAAAGATATTTAAACTTTAAAACACTTTCCACTCCAGCTTTCTTTTGAAGGACGTAAAGGGGCCACAGCGCATCGCCCACAGTCATATGTTCTGTAATGTCACAATCATTATTTCAACAACAACAAAAAATGTGTATAGGTGCATAAAAACACTAAGGTCAACAGAGTTCTTTGTCAAGACCTTCCGATCAAATTGAGCTAGCGAGTTCGAAAAGCCACCAATGGACTCGGCAAGAGCTGCAGAATCGAATGATATGCGATATGACCTCCTTTGATCAGCTTCGTGACCTGAGTGGCCTTGCCTGTCCTTGAACACAGGTCAACACCTTAAGGTGACCTCACCTAACACAAAGCATTTCATGCGACGCGCTTGAGCATGGAGAACACTCGCGGCTCTGTGACTATTTTTGGCGAAGTCATGATTTACCAAAACCGAATCCGTACTCAGGGACATTTGACCTTACCTCAGCTACAATCGGTTGACGTGATGTAAAATCGGATACCAGTCGCTGCGTGTCGTAACGGTGCATACGCTCGTTTTTTTTCGCGAGGCTCTAGCTCAATTAGGGACGATCCCTTTCTCCCAAGCTTTCGGATAAAGGGGTCGTATATCCTCCCTCGACCAATGTAGGGGAAGCCGGGGGAAGCCCGGGCGCGGGGGAAGCCCGGCCACCCCGTTTCCGGCTAAATTATTCACAATAAAATGCTCAACTGTTTGTCCTTACAGCGTGGCAGCTTACAACGCCAGCAAAAAAGTTAAGGCTAACAAAAATTGCATATTGTTAAAGTTATAGCGCAAAAATGATATTTTAAGGGTTTTTAGCTAAAAAGTGAGATATGTTGCACTGTTAATGTTATACCATACAGTACTAATATTTATACGAATGTTATGTAAGGACCGTTTAAGTGTTTGTAGTGAGGGGTGACGAGGCAGACTGGCTTAAGTATGACATTTTTTTCGAATATCGCTGTTCTAAAATGAAAATTAGCACATTGGGGTAACCCCGGGCGAGTGGCCAAGCTTACCCCCAACCGAGAGCAAGGCCACTAAACCACTGTTTTCCATGAGATAATAGGTACTGAGCAGGTTTGGTTTACACCTAGATCAAAGATAAATTTCGAAAATAAACATGTTATCATAGACAAAGCCAGTCATGTCACTTAAGGTCAACTAGGGTCAAACTACGTTTTTGCAGATAACGCGACAGACAATGAAGCTAGAGCTTCAAAAATGGTGTCGTTGTGTTCTTCTTCATCAGCCGAGTTGAATGATATGCAATATGATGCATTAAGGTAAAAAGAAAAATAAATTTTAAGGAATTTTGAAATACACATTTTTTGTCAATTTTGCATCATGATTTGCATTGACCTGTACTGTATATGTGGTAGACGCTAGCTAAAATACCAGTAGTGACATAAACGCTAAGATATCCAGAGCTTATCAGTACCTTAATATTTCACTTTCCGTTAATATTTGGAAGACACATAATGGTTTCATCAACTCGTTGTAAAGCGCTGGGGAGGTGGCCGGCGTTACCCCTATGCCGGGCTTACCCCAGAAAAATCAACACTTTTTTAAAACTCGATTTTCTCAACCTTATACTTATTCCACGAAACCGAATTTTTGGGAAAACACGGCCAATGAACTTAGCTAGCTAACAGGATACCAACATTTTATACAGCACGTATGGTATGTAATAAAAATGAAAAAGAGCTTACTATGCCGGGCTTCCCCCGGCTTCCCCTAAAACTAAAAAGCCAATGTAGGTACCTAGTATGTAGAAAACCAGTGGGTTCGGCGAGGGTTAAGAAAAAAATGCCTTTAACATTTTAAATGAGTATGAAATGATATATTTCTTATTCAGCGACACTATAAGCAAGGTATGAGTAAAAGGATGCTCTTATTTACAAATTAAGTGTGGCAAGTTTGGACATAATGGGTATAGGGTGTCATAGACCTCTGCATACAGAGGTCTATGTATGTGTCATGTGTGCATCCTTTCCCAGTTTACCTATATATTTTCAACACGTATAAATGTTATACTTTCACTCAGCAGTTGAAAATATCACTCGTTTTTTCTGTTTTCAGCCAGCGGACACCATCGAGCGACAGCTCCGGCAGCTGCAGCGGCGGCGGCAGCCAGAAGGCATCCAAGAGAGCACGTCAGGTGGCGCCGCCTAGCAGCGGGCTATGGAACTACAGCTACCCCCTGCCGGCCACCCACCCTCACCTGTTCTGCATCGGTAAGCATTATAGAACCGTCAGGCGTCAGGACGACTGAGGAGTGAGGAGCGATTACAATACAAGGATGTGGATTAGGCGGTCCTGAAGGTGAATGTGACGAGTGCTGTGACATGAACAGAACTTACTAGAATTTCTACATAAAACGCAGCAGCACCATCTATGGAAAGACACCTCCAGGGCAACAAACGAAAACAAATAAAAGTTGTATTTTCCCGCTTTTTAACGTTGCTTGTAACTTATTATCACACGATATAAATCAATGTCAATGCATGTTCCAGATCCGTTCTCTCCCGTTGCGCTGCTGCAATCGTACAGTCTGCAGATGCAAAGCCAGTACGAGAAGCGGTGACCCCGGCAACGACAAGTTCTCGCTGTCGCCGCTGGGTGGCAGCACCGCTGCACCCGCGATGGCGGAATGGTGATACCTCCTGGTGAATCGTGTACAAATCTCTGTGACATGGGAGACGAGACGATGCTGGATTACGATTTACGAATGGGAAAAGATGTGTTGTGGTCGCTGAGCAGTTGACCGAAATCTTTATAATATCTTTAGGACGTAAAAAAGGGCGATGATGTTTTAGGTGGGTATGATGTATTGTAAGAGCTTTACCTCGCTGTTGTTTATTTTGCAAACGATTACGGAACTTTTATGTAGAATGGTTACTGGTTAGCAAATACAACAGATTCTTTGAAAATATTCTTACAAAATCGTGTTTGAATTGCACTGAATGAAAAGCAAGTGTCAACGATACCTACTTTGGTCAGGCCAAGGCAAGTATGTATAGTGAGTTTTAATTGATGTATCTATGTTGAGAGCCGCTATCATAACACATTAAAGCCTCTCACGTGTAAAATAATATATTGGACAGATAGTTTCTCGCAATATAATTTTGATGTTTCACGAAGCTTGTGAGACCTATAACAATTGATTAATTGTTTAGCAGCAAATGCAACACATGAACTAAAGTAAAAGAAAAAAACGCCTGTGCAAATTATTGTTTCCTGGTTGTGCGTGCACGCGCAAGTTATTTGAGTTATTTGGGCTATTTGGGTTATTACACGGGTTATTTGAGCTACCACCCATGGGTGGTAGCTCAAAATGTGTTTGATAGGTATATATGTCCCATCACGCATGCACGTCAGCAATCGAAGAACTGTTTGTGTGTGTCCTGACTGCGAATGTCAAGTTAACTTTGATCTAAGATGATGTGGGTATATTCATGCAATTGGGGTAGGTCAGGTCAGGTCTAGAGTTGCAAAATTTCCCTACCGCACTACCGGCATGCCGGTAATTTTTCACTACCGCAGGTTTTTTCGTGGTATATGGCATGTCTTGCCGGTAGCATGCCGGTACCTATTTTTGATTTTGTGCAAAATAAAAATTATCAGCATATGATTCAAACTTTGGACACTAAGAGGCTCTCAAATTGTAATAGCAGCAATATAAGCCACTGCAAGATACATTTTGTGGTAGAAGTTCCATTGCTAAGGGTAGGGGTAATACATGGACCTCAGCATTTCACAGGCTTGGTTATAATTATAATTGTTAAAAAAGTAGATGTTGAACTCGCTTCCTCAGCTAGGAACATGGCCGAATCTGTACCTGTCACCGACGAAAGTGCTCGGACCAACCCGCGCTACCGCTGTGCCGCCGTGATAGCCGGCCGGCCGCCGTGACACCGCGGCGCCGCCGCCGCTCGCTGCAGCCGTCCCGCCGCCGCACCGCCGTCACCCCGTCCAGACTCAGGATGAGTTGTGAGGCATTGTGCAGGGCGGGGCCGCGAGCAGACGCGGCCGGCGGTCGGTACGCGTGCCGCCGACGCCGCCGAGACGCAGCAGCGCCGCGGCCGCCACCGAGACCGAGATATAAATTAAAGACACGTCGTTTTAAGGCACGTAGGCCGCCAAGCTGGCGCCTTCAGCCACCTCTCCGCTGCAGTGCAAGTTCGCACTCGTTTTGCACACGTATTAAGCATTGCGTATAAAATGTGGGTCACGTACGACCCCGGCAGAGTCTCACTTCGACCGTCGCGCTGTGCGCACGGACTGATCTGCCCCGCTCGACGCCTCGCCCGGCTGAGCGGGGACAGAGTACAGAAGCACGCGCGCAGACCGACTCTCCTGCGCGCAGCCGCGCCCGGCGGGGCAGTGTCAGTGCTTCAGATTGTACAGCGAAAGTGAATGGTGCTCCGTGTCTGCGTGTTTCATCTACCGGTTTTCTTCACAACTGCTTCCGCTTCTTGCTTCGCGTATACTTCAATAAATCCTCTACGGGAAATCTTCACGTCTATCTACTACTGAAAATCGCCGAATATCAAAAACCCAGGAGCTCACATAGCAGGCGGGCGGGCTACGAATGTCGCACAAACTCACCGAATAAAATACAGTCCACATCCAACCAGAAAAGAACTCCGAGCGACAGTTTGTCGGCGACATTTGCTGGTCCTCCGGGCCGGATCCTGAACTATGGCAAGTGGAGAAGCAAGCCCGTCTCTAGAGCGAATGGGGGAAAGTGACAAAGAAGAAACCGCTGACATGGAAGAAGTACCAGCTGAACCAGCCGCTGCAGGTCAAGGACAAGCTGCAGTGACAACAGTCCAAGAGGAACCACGAGAAGGCCAATGCTCCAACGGGGAGTGGCGGCATCTCAGACAGGTGAGAGGTCGTCATCGGGCGGCTCTCACAAGGATTTTCCGGCGCGCTGAAGCTCTCGTGACAGATAGAGCCTCACGCGTCCAGTTTGGAAATATCCGCAGAGAAATGGACAGCGCTTTCCAAGCGTTGATGGCCGTTCACGAATGTATCTCTGGATACACGCAGAGTGAGGAAGAAAAAGAAAATGAGGCTCAGTACTTAAGCGAAGTTCGTACGGAGAAAGATAGAATCGAGGAGAAAATCGAGACTTTCATGACAAGCACCACAGACGAACTACAGCTGACCTCTACGAGACAGACTGACTTCAGCGAGGATGGAGGAGGGCAACCTGAAGACGGCTTGGGACGCTCAGTGTCACGCATGACCCGTAGCGTCGCTCGCCGAGCAAGGTCACAGGTCAGTGGCAGCTCGGCGGCCTCTCATGCATCAGCTGAAGCCAGGATATCATCCAAACTGAAGGAGTTGCGTGTGCGCCAGCTGGAGCGAGAAAGGACACGAGAGCAAGAGCTGCGCGAACAAGAACAAAGGATAAGGCAACAAGAACAAAAGATAAGGCAACAAGAACAAGAACTGCACTACGAGAGAGACCTTCAGAAAGCCAGAGATGAAGCTGAAGCTGCCCGACTGGAGGCGGACCTGAGGGAAGAAATGGAAGACGAGCTCAATGCAGACAGGCGAGACGATTTTGTGGATGAAAATCTGGGAGAACCAATCACCGAGAAAAGCGTTTCTCAAAGGCCGAACTGCTCCAGATCACAACTTCGTTTCTCCGAGCCAGTCTCCATTACGCCCAGAGAACCTCTAGAACCTCTAACCGAAATCAGAGAAGAACCTCCGCAACTGGAACCTCCACGAATGGCGCCCAGTCCCGGTATGTCCACAAGCCAGACGTCATGGATAGATCAGCTGCGACCGACAGCTGCACCACGTCCGGCTCCTACGACATCCGCGTTCACTAAGAGCATCCCCCGTCTCCAGCTGCCGACCTTCTCAGGCAAGCCGTCTGAGTGGCCGCGCTGGGTCGGACTGTTCCGAGCGCTCGTGCACGACCAGCCATCGCTCAGCGACGCGGAAAGAATGGCTCATCTGCAAGCGTCAGTGATGGGACAAGCGCAAGAAGCCATCGCTGGCATGTTATTTGACGGCAACCTTTACCAACAAGCCCTCAAAACTCTACAAGATCGTTTCGGCCGAAGCACGGATGTGATTAAGGTACATCTCGAGAAAGTGTTCTCGGCTGAACCTCCTCAGAAGAACAGTGTTCGATCGTTGGAGTACTTCCATTCCGCCCTGCACTGCGCGGTCACGCTCATGCAGGCCCAAGGATATGAGGCGGACCTGTACAGCACAGAGAATCACCGAAGAACGGTGGTCAAACTTCCAGAATATCTACGGCGTGAATGGGGTAAACATGTGCTCGAACTCCACCCAAGACATCCATCACTCATCGACCTGGACGTTTGGCTGCTGAAGCAGGTCCAAATTGCATCGCTCTGCCAAACCGCTGAAACGCCGAGTGACAGGCGGGGGAGAACCAGAGACCAGACGACTAAGCGAGCAGCGCATGCTACCGCAACTTCGTCACCAGCCTCTCCATCAACGGCACAGAAACCAGGTGGGAATGCGTCGTGTCCGAAGTGCGGTGGTGAGCACAGACTGCACCAGTGTCGTGAGTTCAAAAATCTGGACGTCGAAAGAAGAATCGACCTAATATTCGACAAGGGACTGTGCCTCTGGTGTCTGCAAAGGGGACATCTCGCCAGAGAATGTCACAACACCAAGCTCTGTGGTGTAAATGGGTGCCAGAGACGCCATAATCAGCTGATACATGGCAGCACCAAACGAACCACGCCCCTCACCGACCGCTCGGGAGCCGTAGCCAGTCGGCCTGCCAATGAAACAACTTCAGCGGCAGAAGGAGAAGAGGTACGTGTGGTGGCTGCATCTACCTTCATCGGAAAGACGGGCGGAACTCTTCTACAAATCGTTCCAGTTCGAATCCATGGAAAGAAGGCAGGAACTCACCGTGACACCTATGCTCTTCTCGATTCAGGGTCAGAATCTTCCTTCTGCAGTGAAGCTGTGCTGAACCAACTGGGAATCACAGGACAAGACGAACAGCTGTGTCTTCAGACAGTGGAAGGAACTGGAAAACCTCAAGCATCAACTAGAGTTAAGCTAGAGCTGAGCTCTGTGGCCCCTAGGGAAACTCGAAGAATCATCGTGCCTGAGGCGTGGTCTGTTCCATCTCTCGACATCTCCATGCCGAACGTCTGCAAGAAGCAGCGGGAGAAGTGGCGTCACATCAAGGACTTGGACATTCCTCAGTGCTCCCATGGACAGGTGGAACTGTTGCTCGGAGCTAACGTCAGCGAAGCAGTCATCCAGCAAGAGGTCCGGGTGGGTCAACCAGGCCAACCGATAGCTGTACGTACTGCTTTTGGTTGGACCCTGACTGGCGCTGTGTCCGACCTGCACCCTGGAAAACATGGACGAACTAGAAGAGCGATGTTCATCCAGAAAGGCTCCGCTGCTGACGAGGAACTGGAAAACATGCTGAAGGACTGGTGGACGACTGAATCCTTCGGAGCCAAGTATGAAAGGTCAGTGTCACAGTCGAAAGAAGACCGTCGAGCGCAAGAGCTTCTAGAGTCAACAACCACCAAGTTAACCGGCAACCGCTACGAGACTGGCCTCCTCTGGAAGACTGACGACGACACGCCTTTTCCAGACAGCAAGGTGATGGCTACAAAGAGACTACACGGCACCGAGAGGCGTCTGGTAAACGATCAAGAGAAAGCAGCAGCTTACCAGGCCACGATCGATGCATATGTAAAAAAGGGCCACGCCAGAAAGCTGTCCAGGGAGGAGGCACAGCTCCGGCTACCCAGACGCTGGTTCCTACCACACCAT